GTTTCTTGGTTCGTTGTTTCCCTCCAATCCAGCTAAGATTGTCTTAGTTTCTCACTGGGTTGTTTCCCTCAAATCCAACTAAGATCATCTTGGTTTTTAACTACAGCCGCTTTCCGCTCAGATGAGCAACGTCTCACCTTAAGGTAAAAAAAACATCCCACCCTGGTCAAACTCAGTCATCCTACAGAACTGCAACAGCTTCTCCCGAGCAGATGAAATACCTCAACAAAAAATAAATAAATGTACTTATTGCTGTGTTGTTGGGTGGGTTGGGGTTTGTTATTTTTTCCCCTGTTTGTTTTTTGGTTTTTTTTTTCCCACCTCTTCTGGAAGGATTTGCGTATGTTAAAAGCTTCTTTTTATATGTCTTGTCGACTGCTTTTTAGTTTGAATTTTATATATTGTAGCACCAAAGAGACACCAAACGAAAGTGGGAGAGAGAGAGAGAGAGAGAGAGAGATTAAAAGAGGAACAAAACTTTCCCCCTGGCTTGAAGGAATGGAGGTTTTGATATTGGCCCCAACCACTTCGGGCGTGGGAGAGAAGTCGGCATTGGTGGCAGGTTAATTCCTCTTCTTTTTTTCTTTTTTTTTCCTCCTCCTTAACCCCAAAAAGGCCTTTCCCCCCCCCTTCTTCTACGGCAGTGTTTCACCTCAACCTTGGCAACTTTAAGAAGAGCAGGTTTCCGCTCCCAGAATTCCTCTCCTCTTTAAAGTTACTGATTTGAGAAACGTTACTCTGCAGTATGGCGCTTTCTAAATGTGCAGGACTTCCAGAACTCCTCACCTGAGACGCGAGTTATAATTCTGACGTATCCGAAGAGCACTCAAAATGGGTCAAGTCGGAGGAATCTGTGATCTCCCAAAGCTTGCTGAGACAGACCCACCCAACCCCCAAACACGGCCAGTAACGAGGGGCTGGATCCCTCCCCGTTTCTATTTTAAACAGGTCTTTTAAGGATCTTCTTCCACCTCCTCCTCCTCCTCCTCCTCCTCCTCTCTTGGCCAACAGGCTTCCTTCCATCTGAGTGGGCAAACATTTTAGCCACGCTGCTCCTTGAAGGAGGAGATGCGCTCCCTGGTTGCCACGTAGCCGTGGGAGGACAAATGAAAAGAAAGCGATAATTTGGGGACAGCCCAGATCCACCCAATGTGGGCCAGATACCTTGGAAAATGCCCATATCTTGGTCTCTCCTCCCTCCCTCCCTCCCTTTCGCAGCCCTGCCTTATTAGTGGTTGGGTTGTGACTATTCCCACCCCCGTGTTTTCATCCACCCGGGAAAGAAAAGTTCTTGGAAGAGAATCCATAGGCAAGAGTGACTTGGTCTTGGCATGTCAAGCGGTGGACATGCCAAAGGACACTGTACGTCCCTTTAGCTACCCCTGAGAGGACAGAGGCCCAGGTTGCAAGAAGGACAGCCCCTATTATCTCCTGCCCTGCCAACTGGACCACCAACTGGCCAAGATAAGCTCCGCCGTGGCTCCAATCTGCAACCTCAACAAAAAAAAAATCCACCTCCTTCGCTCTGCTTGAGAAAGCAGCCATCTTTCTCATCGAAAACATTCGACTCCGAAACGTGTACCAATCCGCCTGGGCCCACGTCCCCAAAGCCCCTTCCTGCTTCCATTCCAAGGGCAGGCAGGAAGCCCAAAGATGGTGCTCCAATGAGGTCGTTTCTTCTACCCACCTTCCTCCAGCCGAAGAGTGCGCAGATAGCAGAGCCCCATGGTGAATGGAGTCTTCCGATTAAGGCAGGGCAGAGAGAGAGAGAGAGGCTTAAAAAAAATGGAATTGGCCGTCCAGGATCTGCCAACCTTTCCTGGCCACTTGTGGCTTTTTAAGCAAATGTTTTGCCCCAGTAGGGATTTTTGATCCTCCGCGTTGTTTAGAAGTTTCTCCGGGAGGGTGGCGTGCGTCCCTCTAAGATCGTCCCGTCTCCCATTTTGTAAAACCGAACCCTTGGCGGCTGTTTGAAGGAAACCCTGGCCGCCTCTGCAGGAGGAGACCTCTTGAAAGCCCATCCCATAATTGTGAGGGCTTCTGCAGGCTGACGAGAGCAGAGAAAGAGAGAGAGGGGGACAAGGGGATGCTTTTGCCAAACCCTTGCGGCTTTTTAAACTTTTATTTATTTTTAAGCACGCTTCTCCGTCTCCGGGGGTTTTACCCCCATCCTGGAGCCCTCTTGAGTATCAAAACTTGGCCTTGGAGGTAAAAAAGTCATTTTTGGGGAGCTGGGGGGGAGGTAAAAAAGGATGGAAGTTTGCAAGCCCATGTAGTTTATTTTTCCCCTTCATCTCAGGGAAATTAACCTCCCACTACTGCTGTCATCTCTTCAATATGTCTCAGCCCCCTCCCAAATCATCGTACCTCCCCCCAGCCACGCCCAAGTTTGCATCCCTTGCAGAGAGAAAGCTGTTTGAATCACTGGAGTAGCTTTCCCAGGGCTGGTGGCGGAGCGGGCAGCCTTCATTCCTCTTAGCAACGGACGCCGCTAACCGGGATCCAGGCAGGGGAGTTAAAGAGTTTGTTCTTCTTCAGGGTTTTTTATTGTTTGTTTGTTTTGGGTGGGAGGGGGGGGTGAGCTAGATTTCGGGAGGGTTTGTAACGATATATATATAAATATATAAATATAAATATATACCTCATTCAGATTAAGCTGCGGCATCACACGTTGGCTCTGTTCATGGGGGGTGGGGGAGGCTCTTATTTTTTGCTCTGTCTGCTGCTTTTTTTTAAAATTTGGGACTGAAGACGGGAGCCCCCTCAATTTCAGAGCTGCCCCACCGTGGCGGTGGTAGCGTTCCTCTCTTCGGTGGGATTTTGGGCGGGAAGGGGTCCGTAAGGCGGCAGCAGAGCACGCCTCCATTGGGTGGGTGGGCATCGGGTGGGATTGTTGGAGAGGGAGGGAGCCTTCACCCCTTCCCCTCCCTAACTCGGGATATTAAAAGATTGTATGGCACTCAGGACTTTTCAGTACGACGGGAAGGGCAGGTTGTTTGAAGGGCAGATCCGCGTTTTCAGAGGGTGGCTTCCTTCCCACCCAACCCCTGGACATCCAAAAAGGCCTTGTGGCAACTTGGGCGGGCCAATTGGGCGTTGAGGGAGGCCCGGCCCTAAAAATGCCTAAATCATCCCCCTCGAACCTGGGCCGTTCCTGCTTCCTGGCCGAGGGTCTCCGTTGGGTCCATCTCCTCGACCCAGAGGTCTCCAAACTTGGCCAACTTTCGAGGCTCGTGGACTTCAGCTCCCAGAATTCCTCAGACAGCCTCTTCCCTATGGCTGGCTGGGGAATTCTGGGAGTTGGGTCTCAAAAAGTTGGCCAAGTTTGGCAGGTCCCTGCCTCAACCTGTCGAGCCATCGCAGGATCTCTGACCTTGGAAGGCCAGACTGTGAAGCAGGGCTGCCCACAGGGGTTTCCATCCGATGTTTCAAGGGTAATTTTTCCCCCCCTTTTTCCCTCCCCATTTTTGCCCTTAGTCCAGCAAGCATCCCGCCCCACCCCGGTGCTTTTTTTAGGTAGCCCCAGAAGTCGGATGGGTGTGAAGGAGTACGGAGTTATCCCACCCCACACGCCACCCGAGAAGGATCTGCGCGCAAAATCCCTACACAGCCCTTTCCAGCTGCTGCTATTCTTTTTCCTTCCCTTCCCAAGAGGTCAGAAAGAGGAAGGAAGGAAAAGGAAGGTAGTCAAATCTAAAGATCAGGTCACTACAGCAGCCTTGGAACTAGTTTGTTCTTAACTATTTAAAGAAAGAAAGAAAGAAAGAAAGAAAGAAAAAAGTGATAGCCTAGATGGTGAAAAACTAAAATACCTCAGATGTTTTCCTTCCAGCAAGTGTCTGTATATGTTGTCGTTGGGTTTATTTTTAATTTTTTTTTTTCTGTTTTGTTTTTGTTTTTGTTTTCTATCTTAACAAGTTATCTGAATGTTTATATTCCAATAAACTTCTACCTCTTCAGATCGTGGCTTGTCGTCGTCCGGTTTCTTCGTCCTACGTATTGGGGGCTCAACTCCCCCGAAAAGGGCGGCAGGTGCTTTGGAGGCGTCAAAAGCTTCTTATCGTTAAGGTTTATTCATGTAGTCATCTTTATTATCAAAGACGTCATAAAACGGCTCTTTTGTTTGTTTTCTTGAAATGATATCACAGTGTCAGAAATCTGCCGGTTTCACTAAAGCCAACACAGGTTTGTGCACCCTAGTAGAAAGCAGCGGAAGCGATTCTGTGATTCCCTCAAGCCCCTGGGAGGGCGAAAACAGCCTCCCCTGGGCTCCAAAGGCCCTCCGGAGGCTGAAAATGGGTCCTTCCGGTTTTTTTCCGGAAGGCCCATTTTTCAGCCTCCCAAGGCTGCAGAGGCTTCCCTCAAGCCTTTGGGAGGCCCCCCAAAAAAGGCCTCAAACGGGCCGAAAATCAGCTGGGAGGCGCACGCGTGCGCAGTGCAGGTGATTTTGGCTGGGGCTCGCGTGCCCGCACAAATGGCTCGGCGCGGCACCTGTGGCATGCGTGCCATCACGGCACTAGAAGGGCTGCAGAATTCTCTTCCTTTTTCAAATCTCTATGGTGAAACCTACCAGGAAATCTCCCTCCTGTCGGACAGCAAATGGCTTTGTTGGAATCGGTGGGGATGTTGGGTTATTGAGTTACGCCCGGCGGCATAAACAGCAGCTGGCCGTGTATCTCGAGCATCTTGGCCGATGATAAGAAGCCCTTGAGATAATGGAGAGCCCCAGGACCAATCTTCTCCAAACCCAAGAGAATGTCGACGGGAGAGAAAACTCAAAATTGCAGGAGCCAGACTCTTAATCGGAGGCCCCAGCTGAGCGTCCGGCCCTCCTTGTGTTTATGGTGGGTTCTTATTTTCACATCCTTACCTGCCAATGAGGTAATAGATCTCCCCCCGCCAACATTACTAGCTTCAAGCAATCTTGCGATTAGCAGAAGCCTTGAGATGGGAACAGGCTTATCCTCCCCTTGGAGATCCTCCACAACTAGGCAAAAGATTAAATCCAGCTTTTTTAATATCTATCATAATATCTTTTATTGTAATTACAGTCTAACAATGACTTGATATCAAGAGGACAGTACTTTTATACACTGTGAATTGTGAACATAAAATTAGGAAGGAAAAAGACTGTTGATATCGTGCACAAGAGATAGGTATCAACCAACACACTGTACAATGGAAAGATTTTGTTTTGTGTTTTTGTGTTTGTTTATGTTTCTTGTTAAAAATAAACATTAAAAATATATATATTTTAGAAAGCAGGAGAAGAAGAAGAAGAAACTCAGTGCATCCTTCCTAAGGTCAGATCCCCGGGCTGATGTTTCTTCTGTCCCCATGAACCAACCTTGGTTGCTACGCTTCTCTTCTGTTCTCCGGCGATTCGGCCCTCTCTCGAAAAGGGGACCATGGTCTTGGAGCCCCAAAAGGCTTGGGGGACAAAAGCCCTGGGCTCCAGGGTCTGAGTAAAACTTCATCCTCCACATGCTTTGGGGGGACGGTTGGAGAAGTCACGGGGACTAATAAAAGCTTGTCCAATGCTGAAGGTATATCCGAGAAGATCCCGTGTGGTTGATGAGATGCGCCGGAAGGTAGAAGCAAGGAGGCCTTTTGCGCCATCCTGATACTCGAAGGGGCGTCACTTTGCTGCCCCTCAGCGCAGGCTTCACACAGCTCCTGTATCTCTGCGTGTTGGGGAGAGGGTGGAGCTTCATCCTTCCGCGAGGAAACCTCCAGAACCTCATGGCAATGAGTAGTTTGCGCACCATCTGCGGGGCTGGTGGAAAGTCTTGGAACCTCCATTTCCTTGTGACTCTTTGCCGACGGTCGCTTTGAAAGCTGGTGGATCTGCTGGATCTGTTCTTGGAATCTCAGTTTGGCTGTTGGGGAAAAAGAGCCAAGCTTCGTTTTAACGACCGTCCACTCCTTACAGATCGTCCTCGGCTTACAACAGTCCTTTCAGTGACCGTTGAGATGTCTGTGGAGATGCTCAATCCTCCAGTTCATGGTTGTCCCAAAGGTGCCTTTTATTTTTTTTTATTTTTTTCCCACGAGGCAATTGGAGTTTCCTGGTTTTTCTTTGAAGATGTTTCGCTTCTCGCCCAAGAAGCTTCCTTCAGTTCTGAAGAAGAAGATCCGAAGAAGCAAAACATCTTCAGAGAAAACCCAAATTGCCCCTTGGGAAAAAAAGCAACTTTGGGATCATTTAAAGCTACCGCAACACTGGAAAAAAAAGTGATGTATCGCCGTTTTTCACACTTAACAACCGTTGCAGCATCTCCAGAGTCACATAAACAAAATTGGGATGCTTTCAATAAAACATTGGATGATAAAAGGGGCTGAACTAGCTATAAAAAAAGAGACAGACATCACGATCCTGGAACTAAAACTATATTGTCCACTTAGCTTTCGTTAGCCTCTAATGACATTGTCAGAGTGTAAAACTACCATTGAAGAGATATGTGCCTTTATATCTCTTCAATGGTAGTTGTATACTCTGATGATGTTAGCTGAGGCCTACGAAAGCTAAGTGGGCAATAAGGATTTGAATCATCTTGCATTAAAGCTGGGAGAGAGAGAGAGAGAGAGAGGAATATGAATATATTCAAATAAAAGGATTTGAATCATCTTGCAGTAAAGGTGGGACCTCACTGAAATAAGAGCCAAAAGTTCCTCACCTTGCATTAAGTTCTCATTTTTCTCTTTCAAAGTTTGAATTTCACAGGCCATGGCGGAAATCTGGAAGTGAGGAAACAAAATTTTAACAGAATCCCGCAAAGAGAGAGCCGGGAACCTTTGAGAGCCTGCATCTAGAAGGCAGCTAGCCTTCACTTTTAGATCTTACTTAAAATTATTTTGATCCTGCCTTTTTTTTTTTTTTCAAATAAACTTTTCTCCAAAGCTCAAATCGGTCATGGAATGCTTGCAACGGTTGGCGGTTCGTTGGTTCGAATCCCTAGCGCCATGGAATGGAGCGAGCTCCCGTTCCTTGTCCCAGCAGCTTCTGCCAACCTAGCAGTTCGAAAAAAAAATGTAAAAATGCAAGTAGAAAAATAGGGACCCCTTCGGTGGGAAGGAAACAGCGTTCTGTGCGTCTTTGGCGTTTAGTCCCGCCGGCCAAATGACCACCGAGACGTCTTCGGACAGCGCTGTCTCTTCTTCGGCTTTGTAACGGAGATGAGCAGCACCCCCTAGAGCCGGAAATGACTAGCATGCATTTGTGCAAGGGGAAACTTTACTTTGCAGTCTAAAAACCCATTTCAAGAATCCCAAGTCAAGAAAGAAGACGAACGAAAATAAAGACATCCAATGAGAAGAAACGTCTGCTTAGCTTCAATCCTCATCCATCTTTCTTGAGTCTCCTTGCCTTATAGCCATCCCATACATTAATGTCGAGTTATCTTCAGGAGCACCTTCCATCTACTGAGGTGTGAGTGACAAAAACAGCCTTCTTTCCCTGCCAAGTTATTTTTTTGAGGACGCAGCCTGCAAATGAGTTGTGCTTACCACATCGGTTTTTGCTTTCAGCTGCTGCCGAAGGCTCTCTTCTTCTTCCTCCCTTTTGGATGTGTCTCCAGCTTCCCAATGTCTTTCTTCTGGTGAAACTCCGAGGCGTCCCTGTGAAGCGGGGAAAAGCAAACTGGAGGTCGTTCTGGGGCATTGCTGGTGGTTCATCATCTTCGAGGCTAAGACCCCATCCTCAAAATCACATCTTGTGAGAAAAACCAAGCGGTTGGATCAGTCTAAAGCAGGGGATCTCCAACCTTGGCCACTTTTAAGACTTGTGGACTTCAACTCCCAGAATTCTGAGAGTTGAAGTCCACAAGTCTTAAAAGTGGCCAAGGTTGGAGACTCTTGATCTAGAGCACAGCTTGGTCCAGCATCCTACCATGGCTAACGGAATAACCTCTGCAAAACACTCCTTGGTATGCTCCAGAATCCGATATCCTCCCACCTAAAGTTGAAGGACCTAGAACCCATTCTAGGACCGTTGGGTCACCCCTGTTCCCCACCTCCCCAAAACAAGGTTGGTATCCACACAGCTGGGATTCAACTGGTGGCCCATCACGGTGATGGAAAGATGGCATCTCACCAGCACTCGCGGAACATTCTGGGGTGCTGTTGAGCTCTCGAGTCCCCCATCCTGATGCTTCCTGGTTCCCGCTTGCTGCTGTTGCCTCTGTCTGAACAGTTCCTTCAGCTTTTGGAGAACAGAAACATGGAATAGTCTGTGTGATGACCCAAAGGGACGTGGCACAAAGGCAACACAGTCAAATAAACAAGAACAGTCCCTTTATTATCTCCAACTCTGCCCCCAAAATGTCCAGGTTATCTTCGACTGGAGAAAAATACTCCCAGGAACAGCCTTCAAGTGGAGAAAATTCAGTCCAAAAACAAAGTACATACAAACCGTAACTAAAAATCCAAATCTCTCTGGTTTCTTCCCCAAACCTCAAAAACTATAACCTTAGACTGTCTACTATTGACCTCACCCCTTTCCTAAGAGGTCTGTAGGGGGCGTGCATAAGTCCACCAGCGTGCCTACCATCCCTGTCCTAGTGTGGTTTTTTTTTCTTATATGTATCCATTTCATGTATTCGTAACTATGTTTATATTTATACCTGTTATCTTATAATCGCTTGAAAAATAAATAAAATAAAAATCTCACCTGCTCAGTCACTGAATGATGTTGTAGCCTGAGACCTTCCAGCTGATTCCCAATAATCTTTGCCTCCAAGCCACTAGGACGCCCCTAGAAAGGGGGGAACAAATAGCTCTGGGTCAGCAAGAATTTCCTGATGGTCACTTCTCCTTTATGACATGGGAGATTAACCCACACAGCTCAAGATTTTTGTGAACTGATTGCAGATTATGAACTATTGTGACCTTCTAAGGTATCTCTTCAAGCAATTACTTCCTTATTCATCGATTGCAAAATGGATGGAATCTGGGCAACCGAATGAAGCTAGCAGAGTGTTTAATGGCCGGATGTCCTTCCTGTCACCAATGCGGAGTTTTGTTCATCCGATAATATTCTCAGTGTGCCCAGAGAGAGAAATATCTGCCGCTACCAAGAATCGAACTCGCAGCCTCCTGATTGTGAAGTGAGAGCTCCACCTCCAGGCCACTGCCCCATTCCAAACACCTCGTTATTCTCCTGGTTAAAGTCGATAAGGTTATGTAGCATGACCAATTGCTCTCTGCTCTTCAAACTTACATTGAAAGGGAATAACTACCTCAGACCTTCCCTCTTGTTCAAAAAAAATCAATCCTAATTCAAAAATTTCATGGGGACAAGAAGGCCCAGCTAGACCAGCTGGTTTTTCACCATGGCCCATTGGATGTCTCCAAGCTCACTGGTCTCATAGCAGCTGGGATGGAGCATGGAGGTGCCTTCTACATGTAGCTCAAACGTATTCGAGGTGGGTGCCAGATCCAACTGACATGTCTTCTTGACCAGGTGTTCTGACCCAAGCCTCGTTCAAAATCAAAGAAACACGAAGTATATATTAAAGCAAACCTTTTTAATGCATCTCTGTGAATTCTGTTCATTCACAGGAAAGAGTCATTAAAACTAATTGAACAAAAGACTAATTGCAGATAAATATCCAAAGCCAGATGTTTAAAAAAAAACAAAAAACGGAGCAACGAGGACTCTGAGCATAAAGAACTTCTTTGCTTCCTGCAAAGAAGCCAACCCCAAAGGCTGGCTTTTATCCCTTATGGGAGGAGCCATCACCTTCCAGCCTTACTCCCGAATTGCCCGTGCTCTCAGAGACCTCAGCCATCCGCACCTGCTGCCAGAGAACCACAACACCAGAACTAACCTTCTCACAAGAGGTCCCCAGACCTTCCCTTGTTATCTTCGGCTCTGAGGAAGTTCTCGTCTCCAACACAGTTCTGTCTCCATCTTTGGTCATCCTGAGATCTTTCAAGGCTTGGTCCCTGGGGATAAGAATTCTTTTGAACTCAGTTGCAACACCTCCTGGAAACCAAACCCAATGCTTTGTGTCTTTGGGCACAAAATGACTTTAAAAACGCGTCGAAATGAAGAAGCAACAGCAGAGGAAGATGGAGGCCTCCAGAGATTATAGGAAACCAAAGTTCAATAACATTCCCTGTAGATCTGAAAAGTTTTTCTTCCTGTTTTATGCAGTGGAAACAACCGTCTTCGTAGAAAGTGCATTGCCCGTTATGGGAACCTGGCATTTTCTAACATTTTGCTTTCTCCTCCAGAAATAGAAATAGCACTTAGACTTACATACTGCTTCACAGTGCTTTTACAGCCCTCTCTAAGCGGTTTACAGAGTCAGCCTCTTGCCCCCCCCAACAATCTGGGCGGTCATTTGACCCACCTCGGAAGGATGGGAGGCTGAGTCCACCTTGAGCCTGGTGATATTTGAACTGCCAAATTGCAGGCGGCTGGCAGTCAGCAGAACTAGCCTGCAGTACCGCATTCTAACCACCGTGGCTCAGTGCAGTATTGTTATTACTGTTGGGTGGAATTTGCCACGACATAACAGCCTTGTCTGTCAAAAGTGCCTTTTAATTCCTGGAGAACATGGACAGATCATTTCCTGTGGAGGTCTAATGGTCATTTATACCTTGAGATCCCCGTCTTGCTCTCTTGTTTTCCTTACTTTTCGGTAAGTTGCTCCTCCAAAACATGGACCAGTTGCTGCAGCCTCTGCTTCTCCAAACTCCATTCTGCGTTCTACCAAGAAACAAGAGCCCAAGTCAGCAGACAAGAGGCAAGCCAGCCCTGAGATGCTACTGCAGATGTTCTCCAGGGCATCACTGAGACTTAAACATGGCACCAGCTGTGACAAGATCCAAAAAAAAAGGCAGACCAATAAAGGAGAATATTTGTAACTCAGGGTTGAAAATGAGGAGTAATGGTGCTCTCTGAGTTTGGCTGTTTTCCTGCACGTTTCATTACCCAAACTAGGTAACGTCATCACTGCACTGATGATGTTAACTAGTTTGGTAAATGAAACATTGGTAAAGAAACAACCAAGGATCCCACAGTCCTCTTATTCTTCCTCTCCTCCTCCTCCTCCTCCTCCTCCTCCTCCTCCTCCTCCTCCTCCTCCTCCTCCTTCTCCTCCTCCTCCTCCTCCTCCTCCTCCTCCTCTCTCTCCTTCTTCTCCCTCCCTCCCTCCATCTCCTCCACCTCCTCCTCTTTTTGTTCTTCCTCTCTCTCTCCCTCTCTCCTTCTCCCTCCCTCCCTCCGTCTCCTCCTCCTCTTCCTCCTCCTTCCCCTCCTCCCCCTCCTCCAAAAACCCACCTTCCTTCTAGGACTGATGATGTTACCTAGTTTGGGTAATGAAAGGTCTGCAAGAAAACCACCAAGCTCAGAGAACACCAAGGACCCCACAGTCCTCCTTCCTCCTTTTTGTCTTCCTCCTCTTCCTCCTTCTCCAAAAAACACACCTCCCTTCTAGGACTGATGATGTTACCTAGTTTGGGTATTGAAAAGTCTGCAAGAAAACCACCACCAAGCTCAAGAGAGCACCAGGGACCCTACTGATCCTTGCCTACAGCTGAAAGATCAAAAGGGCCAGGACAATTGAAAATCCAGAAGACAAGGAAAGGGAGGAAAACTTATCAAGAAACTGTCGGCCGCACCTTGGCTTGAAAATCCTGGTTCTGGGCATTCATTTTCTCCAGGTCTTCTTCCTTGGTCTTCAGAGTGGCATTTCCTTCCTCCCATCGGTTTCTCCAGTCTTGGGAGATGGACCGCTGCTCGTCCAATTGCTTGCCCAACTCTTCAGCTTGCCTTTCAAGGTCCTGGCAGTGAACCTGCAGAAGACCTTTCTCCTCCTGTAATTGGATCAGAGATTCCCTACAGAACCAAGGGGGAGAGAAGGTAAAAGGTCCGTGAGAAAGTGTTTGTGGATTCTTCAAAGCCACCTGGAAAGGAACAGGGGAACTGATTTTTGCACCCATGGCATTGCCTCTGAGGAACATAACCCCTCTAACCATTAGGCTACCTGGTTCTCTTGGCTCAGGTAAGTTGGTCAACTGCCTTGGAACGCCAGTGAAACGGATATGCTCAAGGAATAACGTTGCACATCCATGGTTTGAGCTGCGCCACTTCCTAGCCAAAGAGGCTGGATGTCAGGATTCCGGCACTTAACCCCATTTAAACCATGAGTCTCGAGCCAAACTTCCAAAACTTAAAGATTTATTAGGAATAAACATGCCAGAACTGCCTGGGTGTAGCTGACTCTGTGACACATCATTCATGGTCACCCTTGACCCTGGTTTTCCCCCACCCCCTGGGTGTATCGTAATTCATATTCTCCAATGGGACACCTCCATAGCCAAAAGCCATCAATCGTGCTCTCCAGTTAGAATTTTGCGGGGCAGAAACTTCAGTCACCTAGTTACTATCTTTGAAAAACTATTTATGGAATGCAAGTTGCCCACTGCTTCCCCCTCCCTTTTTGTTGGCAACTCTAAAAGACCATAGAAATATTTGATGAGTTGAAATTGTATTTGTGACAGGCAGACTGACTATCCGTACAAACGTTATGCACGGGCAAAGAAAACCCCACACGCACACCTATACAGAGATTTTCGTATCGCAGCATCTTGACGTCCTTCTGGAGCATTTGATGATGGTCCCCATCATGGGATGAAGGTCTGAATGCTTCTTACCTGAGATTTTCACAGCTTGCCTGCAGAGCTTTCTTGGTCTCCTCCTGGCCTTGCAGCTCCTCCGTTCTTCCGAGAAGGTGTTTCTCCTTCTCTTCCAGCAACTTGTCCTCCAGAGCCCGGATGTGGTTAGCCTGGGACTTTTCCTCCTCTTCCAGAAGATGCAGTTTTTCTAAAAGAGCTGCCAGCCTTTGGTGGCTCTCAGCTGCTATAGAAGAAAGCTCTTCCTTCGACTGGGAGAAGAACAGCAGGAGTGAATAGTGTCAGTTTTCAGATCAGTTCACCTGGCCCAGGTGAGCTGGGTTCAACTGGGCAAAATTACAGGTAGTCCTCTCGACCTATGATCATAAACCCAACACCCCTTCTAGCACTGATGATGTTACCTAGTTGGGGAATGAAACCCCTGCAAGAAAATAACCAAGCTCAGAGAGCACCAAGGACCCCACAATTCAACCATAAGCTATATTCTCTTCTATGTTACACTAGATATATCCTTACAGATTTCAGGTTGATGTTCCTCCTCCAACTCCTACTCCTACTCCTATTCCTACTCCCTTCCTCCTCCCCCTCCCTGCAAACCCCACTCCCTTCTAGCCCTGATATTGTTACCTAGTCAGGTAATGAAACATCTGCAAGAAAACAGCCAAGCTCAGGGAGCATCAAGGCTCAACCCCCTATTCGACAAATACAAATACAACCCTGTCCGCAGTTCAGCCCTGAGCGCCAGATATTCTTTTCTGTGTTACTACTGGATATATCCTGGGAGATTCTAGGATGTGGCTACCCTTGACCCCGCCCCCCCTCCATCTCCCATCCAGCTCGGATGGCAGTCTCTACATCCTGGCTTCTTTCTGGGGAAACTGTGTGGCTAAATCTCTTATCCACTGATTCTCCAGGTGTACCTTTACCATAGGAGCCTTAACAGGCAATCCAAGGGCTGCGAGCTAAACGGACAAGATTCACAACACGTTCAAAAGGCAGTGGCGGACCACTTCCATATTATGGACAAGAAAAACTGCATGGTCGTGTGTCCATGAAGATATGGGCAGCTGAGCTCCATTCTTTTGCTTTTTATTGTTTTTTTAAAATTCCTCTCTCTAAAAAGAAGAGGAACACGGTCCGTTCCCAGAACGGACATTTACCTGTCTGACAGATTCCATCTCCTCCTTCATGAGGGCTTTCTCTTCTTCCTGTTGATGGACCTGATTCTTACAACTTGCAAGCTCTGATTTGAGAGCCGAGATCTGGTCCCCGGATTCTTCTTGATTTTTCTGGGCATGTTTCAACTCCAAACTGAGGTGCTGGACTTGCTGAAGCAAAGCTGCATTCTTCTGCAATGAAGTGGCCACGAGAGAGATCTTTCTTATCCCATTTTCTATCCATAAATATATGGATAAAAATATATATTGACTGTTTCCTAGTATGATTTGATGGCTTATTGCACCCTATGACTACTATTGTGTTGTACCTGATGATTCTGGACTCTTGACTCTTTCTTTTATGTACACTGGGAGCTTATGAACCGAAGACAAATTCCTTGTGTGTCCAATCAAACATGGCCAATAAAGAATTCTATCTATCTATCTATCTATCTATCTATCTATCTATCTATCTATCTATCTATCTATCTATCTATATCTATCTTCTATCTATCTATTTTCTATCTATCTGTCTATCTATATCTACTATCTATCTTCTATCTATCTATTTATCTATCTATCTTCTTTCTATCTATGTATCTATCTATCTTCTATCTATCCTCTATCTATCTATCTTCTATCTATCTATCTATTTATTTATCTATCTACTTTCTATCTATGTATCTATCTTCTATCTATCTATCTTCTATCTATCTATCTTCTATCTATCTATCTATTTATCTATCTATCTTCTTTCTATCTATGTATCTATTTTCTATCTATCTATCTATCTATCTATCTATCTATCTATCTATCTATCATAGAAAAAGCATCCCGCGAAAAGGAAAACAGCCTCTTGCCTCATAATACAAGGGTAATTTGTTGCCTGAACCAAGAGATCTTTTATATATATAAAAGTCTGACTCACAGACGAACCCGATACAGAAGCCTGATGATGGCAGATGAGATTCTGCCGAAACGTTGCTACAACTTTAAAAGCACAACTACAATGACGTGGGAAAATACCCGAACAAAGCTGAACGCCATACATGTAAGTACCCGTGAAAACTTAAGAAAACACACACACATACACACACACACACACCTGTTTGATGTTCTTGTAAGCAGCTTGGAGTTGGCATCTTTCTCGCTTGGTTTCCAGTGGCTTTGTAGCTGTTGTATGGCTGACTGAGCTCTGCTCTCCCCGAAGACCCAAAGGAAGAGAAATGGGCTTATGTTCTTAAAAGTAATTCTCAGACCATCACGTTTAACAGCGGCGAAGTCAAGAACTGAGTTTGAACTGGCTAAGAAAGGAAGTTGGAAAAAGAAGCGAAGGGAGGGATCTCAAGGTCTGGAGAGAGGGATAGAAACATTGGACAAGGAGTCCCAAAAGTGTTTGGTTTTTTTTCCAGGAGACCATTGGACTTCCTTTTGTTTTTCTTTTGAAGACATTTTGCTTCTCATCCAAGAAGCTTCACCTCTGACTGGAGGGTGGGGAATGGAAGGATTTATACACCTTTCAGATAGCTGGTCATTTGCATCCACTTGGAGGTTTACCTGTGTCCTCAGGGTCACCTGAGTAACGCTCCGGTTCTTGTAGTCTGCATTTTTTTTTTCTTGAAAATCCGTTCATTGTCCCACCCCCATTCAAAGGGTTTTCATCCCAAACTGTATAGCTAAAAGTCTGTGGAGATTCTCGACCAAGGTTATCGCAAAGGTGCTTTTTCAAAAGGCAACTGAACTCTCTTGTTGTTGTTTTTTTCTTTTGAAGACATTTTGCTTCTGATCCAAGAAGCATCTTCAGCTCTGACTAGATGGTGGGGGATGCAAGGATGTATGTTCCTGGCAGACAGCTGGCCATTTGGAATCTTTTAGAGTCACTAAACAAAATCCAGTTGCCTTTTAGCTATACTTATTGGAGAAGGAGGATTAGAGAACCCTGAACCGCAGGGTCATTGCCGGAAAAAGACTTTAGTGGCCATGGAATGGGATGTTTCTCAGTTTGAAAGGAGTGGTGGGCGGAATGGTGTGCCCTGCCACTGAGACGAATCCCGTTTTGATGTCTTGCTTATTGTTTTCCAACAGCACCACCCTTTCAATCTTAACAAGGGCAGCCCCATGAAAAGCCCATTGCAGCAGTCAAGCTGCTCTCTCTCTCTTTCTGCTAAACTCACCTCCAAACTCACCTCCTTCACGCATTTCAGCTGCTGCACCATCTCGTTTCGTTTCTCTTCTAAGGTCTTGATGCAGTTCTTCAAAGCACCCAAGCTTTTTTGGAGGTTCTTCAGTTCCTGGCCGACGTCCAACATGTCCTGGCTCTGAAGGGAGTATTTCCACTTTATTTTTGAGCTCATTTCTCACCCAGCCAGCCACCCCAACAGCCACATCTTCTTTGCGCCACTGCCGCATTCTGCTTCAATGCGGAATAGCCAAAAACAAAAAAAAACCCATCCTAAGCTAGGGTCCGTTTCAAATCCAGAAGTTAAGATTTTGGAAGGTTTTTCTTACCACAGGTTCGCTGTGACCGAAACTCTGGGAATGCAAGCGGTGATCCCTTTTACCAAAATAAGACCTCGTCTTGGCCAGCTCCATTTCCATCTTGAAGATCCTGAAAGACACACCAAGCAAGAAGGTGGATTTCTGTATCTCTAGGAATATCTTTGGTTTTCTAGAAGCCACAAAATAGTCTCAGTATTATGAAATATTTCCCAGTTTCAGGAGTGGACAGAGTTGGCTTCTTTTGAAGAACAACAACTACTTCTTCTTCTTCTTCTTCTTCTTCTTCTTCTTCTTCTTCTTCTTCTCCTTCTCCTTCTCCTCCTTCTCCTCCTTCTCCTCCTTCTTCTCCTTCTCCCTCTTCCTCCTCTTCCTCTTCCTCCTCTTCCTCTTCCTCCTCTTCCTCATTACTATTACTATTAAACATTCCATCTTCCATTAAACAGTGTGTTGTCTGGTTACTAATATCTGTGCAATAACCATCAACATTTACTACAATATATATTACTTTGATATTGACTTTCTAATCTTACAATCATAATATGGTATATAATAAAACTTTCCATTCCTCCCTCTTAAAGTATCTTCTAGTATAAATATAGTGATAATACTAAACATGGTGAGCTTAATCATCATATCAATTACAATTGTCATGTTTACATCTCTATCTTAACGTATTTTAATAATTCGCTAGTCTCCTTCTTTTATTTCTAACTTCCATTTTTCTCCCCTTTTATTTCTGATACGCAATACCCACTCCCGTACTACAAGAAGGGGGCTACTTACTTATCATCCAGTTCCCCTTTTCGTGTCCTGCCTTCCAAACGAATCACTTCCAACCACTTTCTTTCCTTCTCCAGGTAGGCAAAGGAGCTTTCCATCTGCTGCAGGAAAGACAGGAGTCAGGGGAAATTTCACAGGCAGGCCTACACATTAACCAGAGCCTTGTGGGGAGGGGAAAAAAAAAAAAATTGGTATTTTCTCCCGTAACAATTACTCTTCGTCGAAAGAGAATTTGCTTTTTAATTTAGAAATTCTTTTACGGAGAAGATAATCGTTGCGTAATCTTCCTTGCTGCAACTCTTTAAGTGAATCGCTGCAGTTAGTGACGTTAGCACCACAGTTGTTAAGCGAATCTGCCTTCCCCCATTGACTTTGCTTTTCAGAAGGTCCAAAAAGATTATCATGTGACCCCAGGAAATTTGCAAAACCGTCATAAATATAAGTCAGTGGCCAAGCATCTGGATTTTGATCACATGGCCATGGGGATGCTACAATGGCCATGCCATGCCTCTGTTGGAATCTGATTCCGAGGGAGAGGAGGAACAACTGACAGGGAGTGGGAGTGGGCCTCCAGTGGCTGTGAAGGAAACTGGGGAAGGGCACAGTCTGGCTGGGCATTCAGAGGAAGACCCAGGCCCACCCCCTCTTCATCCTAGGGCACGCAGGGAGGAACAGGAGAAGGGAGCTATATGGGTTGCCTGGCTTAGGGGGGAGGAAAGGGCCTTGATCCCCTTCATGGGCTGCAGCTGGGAAGACTGTTTAAAAGGGCAAACTGCGCATGGCAATGTTGCTGGAAGCAAAGTGTGAAATTATTCTGGTTTGTCAAGTGTTATCTGAGTTCTGGAGTCCTCCCAAGTGTGTGTGTGTTTCGTTATCTTTTGACCTCTTCAATCCCTTATCCTGCCCTGTCTCGTTAATTGCTGCAGTTTGGTTTGTGTTGGTTTTTCTTTATAATTTATATGTACTTTGAGTTTGGATGGAAGTTCTTCCTTTTGAAAACTGTTTTTGGGAGAGTTTTTTTTTCTCCAGCCAATGATAACTGGACACCAGGATCCAAGCTGGAGGTATTAAAGGGACTTTGCCTATTTTTGTGACTTTTGTTGCTTTTGTGCCACACCCCTTGGGGTCATCACAGGTCATAAGTGTGAAAACACAGCCACGAGTTCCTTTTTCAATGCCGCTGTAACTTAAACAGTCACTAAACGAATTGTTGTAAGCCGAGGGCTACCTATATAGTCCGCAGATTAGGATACGATCGTACATTACCTTCTGTTTTAGGGAACAGATCTCAAATTCCATCATGTCAACTTCCAACGCGAGGTTCCATGCTCCAAACTCTTTAGGTTGCCCTGCCAGAGAGTCGTCCCCTTCTCTTAGCTTCCCGTTCCTTGGTGTCTCTTCCAGAAAGTTTGCCTGCAGGTCCGGCTGCGAGCCGCTCCACCTTTTTCTAGCTAACGGCTGATCGGAATTAAAGTCCTTTGTATTGTTGTTAGGAAGGTGGGATAAGGAATTCCTCCTCCTAAGATTTGAACCGGGAGGCTGCATGCCGTAGGCCAGATTGCTTGGAACACCTCTGCCAAATAAATAAATAAATAAATAAAAATGCCTAAATAAATGCATAAAAAGAGCTGAAGAAGCTTCTTGGACAAGAAGCGAAACTTCTTCAAAGTAAAACGAGAAAGTCCAGTTGCCACGTGAAAAAAAAAAAGGCACTTTTGGGAAAATACATCCCAGGGATGTAATTCAATTGGAGACCTCTATATTCCACGAATCAGAAAAAAGGCTGTGAAAATATCTACAGACCCCTTGCATCCTGGACATAAATTGTTTCAACTTCAAAATGACGCTATAGGGCATTGCACACCAGAACAACTAGACACAAGGACAGTTTTTTCCCCCGTCCTATCGCTCTGCTAAATAACTGATTTCCACAATTCAGTTAAACTATTTAGTAAGGCTGTATTACTTCTTCTCATCTTTCCTATTACCTTCTCTACTTAGGATATAACCGTGTTGCTTGTATCTTACGATTTGTATTGTTTATTTAGTATCCTAGTATGATTTATGTTGATTGCTTATTTAGTATCCCATGACTATCGCTAAGTGTTGTACCTTATGACTATGACGAATGTATTTTTATGATGATTATGATCATAATTTTTATGTACACAGAGAGCTTATGCACCAAAGACAAATTATTCCTTGTGTGTCCAATCACACTTGGCCAATAAAGAATTCTATTCTATTCCATTCCATTCCATTATATTCTACTTTTATTCCGATATTCTCTTCTTTTCAGTTCAATTCAATTCTATTTTTATTCCAATATTCTATTCTATTATTTCTTATTCTATTCTATTCCATTCCATTCTATTTTTATTCCGATATTCTGTTCAATTCTATTCTATTCTTTCTTATTCCATTCCATTCTATTTTTCTGTTCTGTTCTATTCTTTCTTATTTCATTCCATTCTATTCTATTTTTATTCCAATATTCTGTTCTGTTCTATTCTATTCTAAATTCTATTCTAAATTCTATTCTCTATTCTATTCTATTCTATTCTATTCTAGTCCCGCTATATCCAAAAGAATAACATACACCCCCATTAGATTCCATGCCAAAGCTTCCCCGCTTCATATCCACTTTATTCCAAACCTACGTTCTGTCGTTGTTGGACTGAGAACCAGGCTGGGACCCCACAGACATGGCTCTCAGAGGCCCAGGGTGTCGGAAGTTTATGCAGGTTCCTCCTGGGTTGCTTCGTGGGCTGCTGAGCTCTCGCTGAGCTATTACCCCACTGCTCTTTAGCTGAGGGAATGGAAAGAGAAAAGAGGAGTTTCAAAACTTATTTGTTTATTTGTTAAGCATGTACGAGAAAGCAAGTATAAGTATGAACACAGCATATAAACATATAAGCATAAACAGTATATACATAATAAACGAGTATGAATAAATGGAAGCCGTAGGGCAGGGACGGTAGGCACGCTGGTGCACTTATGCACGCCCCCTTACAGACCTCTTAGGAATGGAGTGAGGTCCACGGTAGACAGTTTAAGGTTAAAAGTTTTGGGGGTTTGAGGATGCAACCACAGAGTCATGGAGTGAGTTCCAGGCATTGACCCCCTCTGTTGCTGAAGTTGTATTTTCTGCCATCGAGTTTGGAACGGTTTACTTTGAATTTGTATCTATTGTTTGCCTGTGTGTTATTGTGGTTGAAGCTGAAGTAGTCACGGACAGGTAGGACGTTGTAGCAGGCAATTTTGTATACTAAGCTTAGGTCAGACCGTAGGCAGCGTAGTTCTAGGTTGTCCAGGTCCAAAAGTCCAAGCCTGGTAGCATAAGGTATTCTATTGCAAGCAGAGGAGCGGAATTTCAATTGGGAAAATGTGACTGTCCTAGACCAGGCCAAGAGGGCAGGGTAAGAAATAAGGGTTGGAAACTAACCAAGGAGAGAAGCAACCTGGAATGAAGGTTGCTTCCCTAACAGGGAGGACAATGAACCAGTGGAACAGCTGGCCACCAGAAATCGTGGCTTCTCCATCACTGGAGGTTTTAAAGAAGAGACTGGATAGTCACTTATCTGAAATGGTATAGGTTTTCCTGCTTGAGCAGGGGGCTGGACTAGAAGACCTCCAAGGTCCCTTCCAGCTCTATTCTAAAGTCCCAAAATGCCAGGGAATTTCTAGGAGCATCCAAATTGTGATCACGTGACCGTGGGGGACGCTGCAATGGGGATAAACTGTGAAAACACGGTCATGAGTCAGTTTTTTTTCAGCGCCATCATAACTTTGAACCATCACTAAACAAAGGATTGTAAGTCGAGGACTTCCTACCAGTCAATGTCCTACCAGTCAGTGACTACTTCACCTTCAATCGCAACAATACAAGAGCACACAACAGATACAAACTCAATGTAAACCTGATTGCAGAAAGTCCAAACTTGATTGCAGAAAGTACGACTTCGGCAACTGAGTGGTCAATGCCTGGAATTCTGTAGTTTCATCCTCTAACCCCCACTTCTTTAACCTCAAACTATCCACCATTGACCTCACCCCATTCCTAAGAGGTCTGTAAGGGGCGTGCATAAGTGCACCATCGTGTCTACCATCCCTGTCCTTTTGTCCCTATTTATTCGTACCTATTTCCTGTATTCTTACTCATGTTTATGCTTATACATATAATCTTGTAAGCGATCGGCAAATCAAATCAAATCAAAATAAATAAATATGTGGGAGTCCCTTCACCTGCAAAGGTTAAGAAGCCAGTGGAAACACCTGAGTGCTTACCTGTGATGGAAAAGGACTCTTTGAAGGAAGGATCTTTTCTGAGGCCAAAAGCGACCCACAGAAGGATATGGGGTTTCCGCTGGTATTTCCAGACTCTTGGCTGTGGAGTCTTGAGTTCTCCACAGAACTGTGTTGGAAACCTCCATCGACGCCTCCGAATCGGGAAGGCAAACTCTGAAATCCAGTCCACTTACGGAGTAACATTTAAAGGAGTTGAGAATCCCAGGAAAACTTCTCTTCTCTGAGCAACGTGGCCGAATCAATGTGGTGCTCCAATCTGGAGTTTGGGCTGACGGAGGTTTGTGAACCCAGTCTGAAGAACCTAAAAAAAAAAAAATCCACGACCCAAAATAAAGGGGGAGGAGAACTTTCCCCCAAAACTAGCGTTTTCCCCAATGCATAAAAATGTTTCTTCAGAACACAACACAAAGTCTCACAATCAGGACATTTAAAACGGCCCCAAATTTGTGCCTTCATTCGCGAGTCCCATGTTTGTTCCTCCAATAACTACGTTCGAACATTTCACATTCGCTATTCTCATGGTCTTCATTTCTTATAACGTACTTTTGCCCGAAAACAATGGGATAATTGATTCTAATTTGCTAAATGAAGTCCTAAATTCACTAGATGGCTTCAGTTAAGTCGTTGCTCTGCAAAGAGATGGTTTAATTTATTAAGCCACCTAGAATAAGGGCATTATTTCATTCGACCGATTGTTTTAGAGGATGGTATAAAAACAAGATCTTTAGCAATATAGTTGCAAGTTTGAGTTCTACATGTTTTAGGTAATATCGATTGATTTACTGAACCGTTTTATCTAATGCCTAATTTAAGATAATCTTTATATTTTGATGTTTTGGCCCCAAGTAAATTTTCTCTTTATTTATTTCAAGGGAAAACCTTTAACAGACTGAAATGCAATGATGTTCAATAAATCAAAAAATGCAAAACAAAGATTTGCTAATCCAAGCCTAAAGAGATATATACACACAGAAAACTACAAGAGAAGGAATGGGTGGGAGGGAACCCTTAAAAAAATGGAGCAACTTTTGGTGGATGTAATAAAGAGGAAATAGACTCTGGGGGAGTTTTACCTGAAAAAAAAATTGTACTAAAGAGGAGAAAGAAAGTTAAAGAAAGAAAGTTAAACAAAGAAAGATAGCAAAGTCGCTGTTGGGAAAAGACTCTCCAGAAAGAAACAGCTTCTCACATCCAGCCCAAACTCACGCGTATATAGAGGGAGGATTCCATAATCAGAGAGAAAAATTAGAAATTATCCTAATTAGAAAGCTTAAGTTTTTCCAGATTGTCTGTGTCGAGCAGGTGAGCCCAGTGTTCTTTTCAAAAGGGAAAATCGTAGACAAAAGTGATTTTTAAAAAGGGGGGTTATCATTCCTGCTTACCTCCCAATAATCAGCGCTGCCGAGTGGCAATCTCAGAATAAGCTGGAAGTAAGTAACAATCTTCCCACCTGAACAACCTGGTTTCTGTAAGCACTAGCTTTCCCTAGGCCAAGAGGAACAGGGCAGTTGCTGCCATGGGAACTGTGGTGGCAACTAATCTTGGTTCTTACTTGCTTTCGATTGTTCAGGAAACTGGTAGGCCTGTCAGGTAAGGAGAAATGCGGTCACCTGCCAGGTAAGGAGAAAAGTAAACTTCGCCTGACGCGCCTTAAGCTGAGAAGATGGGCGTTTTGATAGCAGTGGTTTTGCTCACTCGTTAGAAGCAAAAACCGTCAAAAGTCACTGTAAGAGATGATGTGTCAGAATAGTATCTGAAAAGCCACAAAGAAGTCAACAATTTTTGAGTTCATTGACAGTCGTCAGCAGAGTAGAGGATTAAAACTTCCAAAAACAAAAAGGTGGAGTTAAAAAATAAAGAAGTTCAGACTTCATTATGCCATATGGCTTTGGTGAATAAACAAATGCGTGATTTAACATGGTTTATTGAATAAACAATTGACCAGATTCATACATGGCAGGGAGCCATTTATAAATTAGATGGCTGGGCTGGGTTCATATCATAAGCCCGTAGGCCAGTAGTGTCAATGGCTTGTTTGCACAATGATCAGCTGAATCACAAATGCTAGTTGTTTGGAGTCACCAGGGTATTTAAATTGTAAAACTAGCCACATCAGGTTGAGTTGCAAAGCTTCATTCACATGATACACACATCCAATTGGTTGAGGATTTAGTAACGGTGTTTGTACCATGTGCTAAGTTTAGTTAGACTTTGCTCAAAACAAAGGCCATTTTGTTCAAGTTACAGCTCAGCATCTTCTGTAAATGCAGAAAAAAAGAGTTAATTTAGCACCCAGGTCCAGTCTGGGGTGTCTGAATGAAGCCATCAAAGACTCAAGATAACCATCTTCCCTTTTGCCCAGACTGTGAACAGAGCTAGTGTGGCTTAGCTGTTGTGATCTGCTGAGAAGGAACATTGTACACCAAATGAGAATTTTTTATAGAATAGAATTCTTTATTGGCCAAGTGTGATTGGACACACAAGGAATTTGTCTTTGGTGCAAATGCTCTCAGTGTACATAAAAGAAAAGATACATTTGTCAGGAGTCAAGAATCATCAGGCACAACACTTGATGATAGTCATGGGGTACAATGAGCAATAAAATCATACTAGGAAACAGTCAATATAAATAGCAAGGATACAAGTGACAAAGTTACAGTCATACAGTCACAAGTGGGAGGGGCGATAAGGAGTGATGAGAAGATTAACAGTAGCAGTAGTGCAGACTTTGTAAATAGTTCGACAGTGTTGAGGGAATTATTTGTTTAGCAGAGTGATGGCGTTGGAGGAAAAACTGTCCTTGTGTCTAGTTGTTCTGATGTGCAGGGCTCTATAGTGTCGTTTTGAGGATAGGAGTTGAAAAGGCATTTATGCCCTGGTTCCATCTCAGAGGACAATTACGACTGCAGAAAAAACAATGGCTACCAACCTGCCTTCAATCAAGGACCTGTATATCCTGCACGAGTCAAAAAGAGGGCTGTGAAAATATCTACAGACCTCTCACATCCTGGACATAAACTGTTTCAACTCCTTCCCTCACAACGAAGCTATAGAGCCCTGCACACCAGAACAACTAGACACAAAGACAGGTTTTTCCAAACGCCTCTGCTTAACAAATAATTCCCACAATACTGTCCAACTATTTGCAAAGTCTGCACTACTATCACTATTAACCTTCTCATCACTCCTTATCAACCATCCCCTCCCACTTGTGACTGTAGGACTGTAACTTTGTCAGTTGTATACTTATGGTTTATATGGACTGTTTCCTAGTATGATTTGATTGCTTATTGTACCCTAGGACTATCATTAAGTGTTGTACCTGATGATTCTTGACTCTTGACAAAGGTATCTTTTCTTTTATGTACACTGAGAGCATTTGCACCAAGACAAATTCAATTGGCCAATAAAAGAATTCTATTCTATTCTAAGTTTAGATATAATTTTTTTTGCCTTAGTTGAATATGTGATCATGGTCATGTATGTATTGAAATGTAAAAACCTGGAATCACGTGATTGGAAAAAAAAGTTGATTTAATTTTTTTATGCTCCATTTTAATTAGTTTGGAGACCTTTTAAATTAGTGTGTAGTAGACTTTGCACACTTGGTATATTGTCCCTACGTGTGCTTCTTCTGGTAAGGCTGCTCACAGTCCTCAGAGATTCGCCAGTGTATAAATTGCAACAATAAGAACGACAACAGCAACGATAATAACACGTCTCTGGCGATTCCACTTTTCCTTGCCGCAGTCCTCCACTCCCACAAAGTCGGACGCCCAGAGCGGCAGAAGCCATCGACCAGCATGGCGTCCGGCCAAGGGGAGGGGAAAAAAACCTCGGCGTCGAGCCGCTCTAGGCCGCGCGACGACAGCCACCGAGATTCTTTCCCCCCTTTCAGCGCTCAGACCGGACGAGTGCGCCTGCGCGCAAGTGTCGTGTTTTTTTTTTTTCCCTCCTCATCGTCGTCTGCGGCGGCGGCGGAGCCGAGTCGGAGGCCTCCGGAGGGGCCGGAAACCGCGGTGAGGACCGGGGTGGCTGGGTGGGTCTCGTTCGCAACTCGGAATCGTTTTTTCTGGGGAAGAGAAGCGGGAGGAAGCCGTCGCCTGCAACCCACGGGCCTTAAGTCGGCGTGTAACCCAAGGCCGCCGCTTTTGAGGAGGAGGAGGAGGAGGAGGGGAGGGGGAGAGGCTGAAAGGAGTGGGCGGGGCTTCGCCTCCCTCTCAGGAGAGCCGGCCACGCCCCTCCCAAAGCCTCACCGTTCTATTCTACCACCACCCCTCCCGCCGGGACTGCCACGAATTCGGTCGCGCGCCGCTCTCGTCTCTCCCCCCCCCAAGTCTCGCGGGAACATCGCCGCCGCTGGAATGGAGATGCGGACGGGTCCCCGTTTCCTGGAGGCGGGTTTTCGGGGTCCCCCTCGCGCCCGGGACCCCCGCCAGGTAGGGGAACGGAGGGTGTGTGGGTGGGGGGGGAGGTACGAAGATAAGGGGCTTTCAAGGAGAGGGCCGGTTTTCCGTCGGCGGCGCCGCCCGGGGGTTGCTAACCGCGGCTGTCGGCCGTGTGTGGCCTGGTCTTCCTTCCCTGGCCTGCTCGGGGTGGGGTGGGGGGGAGGCCGCCTTGGGAGTGGGCAACGCCAGAGGGGGGGGGTGCGGGGAGAAGGCTTCGGGCCTATGGAGGGGGGGGGCGCCTTTGGGTTCCCGCAGGGCCTTGTGGCAGCTTCGCCCCTGAGCCTGCCTTTAAATTAAAAAATCAAGCATCGTCACGAAATGTATCCTGCAAAGATGGCGAGGTGCTTTTGTTTTTTTAAAAAAAATCTCCTTAAGCCATGATGGTTAGTTGGGATTTACCCATCTTTGTGCAAACAGGCCTCTTCCTTCTCCCCCCCCCCCTTTTAAAAACACGACCTACAGATAGTCCTCGACTTACGACCACAAGCGATCGCAACCTCCCCCCCTTTCCACGTTTGGGTTGAGATCTTGATCTTTGTCCCCATTTTACGACTGTTCTGCCCTCCGTTGTTAAGTGAATCGCCACCAGGGTTAAAGGGAGCCAGCAATGGGTTTGGTGAAGCCCGACTGCCTTAAATGGCGCTTACCTATATAAGGTAAGTAGACGGTACTCCCTCCCCCACTTATCACTGCAGTTTGACCCCAACATTTTGGTGGCTAAGCGGGACATCTGTGAAGTGGGCTTTTTATGAACCTTTCTGGCCGCAGTTGTTAAGTGGATCGCTGTCGTTAAGGGAGTGATGCCGTTGTTAAGCGAATCGAGCTTCCCCATCGACTTGGCTTGTTAAGGAGGTCACAAAAGAGCCCCCCTCCCCCCAAGGACATTCTCGACCGTCATAAATATGAACCAGTTGCCAAGCATCTGAATTATTATTATTTTTAAATTCTTAAGACCTTTATTTAAGAGATGCTTGCAGTTTGACCTGAAAACAATCAGGTGTATTCATATAAATTAAAAATGAGGTTCTTAAAAATCCCAACTTGACCAGATATATATGAAACTATTTGAAAACCTTTAAAGGTGTATTGAGAAAAAAAAACAGGCCTTTTAAAAAACATGTTTGTCGCTCCCAAAAGGAGGAGGCAGCTTTATAGGTAAAAATAATAGAAATCCCGTGATAATGCAGAGAGTTTGAAGAGTTATCTGAATTTTGATCACGTGACCACGGGAGGCTGCAACAGTCGTTAAGTGTCGAAAAGTGTCATAAGTTGCTTTTTTTTCAGGATCCTTTGTAATTTTGAAGAGTCACTAAACGATCTGTTGTAAGTCGAGGACTATTGTTTTGTGCAGTGTGAAATACTGACGCATCCTTGGGGTGAACCAAGCCTTCGGTTCTCTGTTTTAGTTGAATGGCTTACGTATATCCTCCCTTCGGCCTCCTGGCCACTGTCCAGGTGTGTCAAACTACAGGTGTAATGGACACATCTGGTTTGTGCATCACTTTAGGAAGGTGGATGACTATTAGGGTAGTCAACTCAATATGGTAGTAACTGATTTGAACAAAGGTGCACTTTGTTGTTTTAGTGCCAAATATATAAATAGCTTCCATGCTATTTTCCCAAATTTTAAACCTAAGTTTCTTGACGTGTACGTTTTATGATCATACATCGGTTACTACTTCGTTGTTTTTATGCAAACCTTTATGGAAAGAGGTGTATGGAAATTTCTAGGGAGAAGAAAAAATATTAGATAAAGGGCACTATTTTTAAAAAAATCCCAGAGTCGTTTATCTCCAGTTCTACAGTTGGGGCTAAATAAATTAGAAAGTAGAATCTGATTACCAAGCTTTCATTGGGAGTGGTGGAATTTTTTTTAACATAATTGTTTTGTTGACATCTAGTATGGAAGAATATTTGGCTGGAGAGACAGCTTCGCTATATGAGTAACCATTTCCTTCTTTTCTTCCCTTAATAGATGGTTAGCCTTAAAATTTAAAATAAAATTCCTATCTTTAAACATTAATCCCACACAACTGCTTTTTAGCGATACTAGTAATTTGTACATACTTTAAAATGTTTATA